CCGGATTCGAACCCGGGACCTTTGAATGAGAGGCCAACACCTTAACCTCTAGGCAACGAGAGCTCCCATCCTGGTTTTGTGTGACTCGTATTGTCACAATGATAACATTATTGTTTTTATTTTTTTCAGGTTTCTAGCTATTGTTAAGGTAAAATGTCTGTTATTTGTTTCGTAACCTCAATATGTACAGTGGAAACCCTGATATAACAGGGATGGTGGGACCTGCTCCCCGCCAAACCGACAGACAGACAGACAGATATACATACACAGACAGACAGACAGACACACACACACACACACACACAGTACTCACCCTGTACTTAATCCATCCATCCAAAGACACCAGCCTCTGTGTATGTTGTACGGTGATCTCCCCACCAAAGAGCAGCAGGGCGTACGGGGACACCACCGTCGTGTCGCGCAGGAACACACGTGACATACGCACCTGATAGACACACACACAACGCGATGGGAGGAGGGGACGAGGGGAGGAGGGGACGAGGGGGAAGAGGTGGTGGGGAGGAAATCATGAAAACAGCCAGTATGACTTCGATGATAATTTTATTGATGATGACGATGATGATGATGATTTATTGATGATGATGATGATAATGATGACAACAATGACGATGATGATGATGTTATTGACGATAACAATGATGATGATAATGATGACAATAACAACAACAATGATGATACGGTACTGATAACAACAACAAAGATGACTATAACAACAACAACGATGACGATGACGATGACGATGTTACTGGCAATGCCGATGATGAGCTGCTGAGTTACCTTCTCCTGATAGACCAGCCAGCTTCCGGTGAGCGCCAGCGTTTTGTTGACGGAGGACGGGTGTACCTGGGCCACGCCGCTAGACGTCTCCACTAGGCAGGTCGACTTGTCCGACACATCCACAGACGGAGTGGTCAGTACACAGCCCACCTGTGGGGAAGATGGGGGGAGGTTGGGGGGGATAAACACAAACATATGAACATATGAGCAAACAAACAAACAAACATATGAGTAAACAAACAAATAAACGAACAAACAAACATATGAGCAAACAAACATAAGCAACTAGAGGTCTCCACTAGGCAGGTCGACTTGTCCGACACATCCACTGATGGGGCGGTCAGTACACAGCCCACCTGGGGGAGGAGGGGGGCGGGGGGAGATAAACACAAACATATGAACATATGAGCAAACAAACAAATAAACGAACAAACAAACATATGAGTCAACAAACAAAGAAACATAAGCAACTAGAGGTCTCCACCAGGCAGCTGGACTTGTCAGAGACATCCACAGACGCAGCGGTCAGTACACAGACAGCCCACCTGGGGGGGGGGGTGGGGTGATACACAAACATATGGCATAAACAGACAAACAAACATGATGTAAATGAACAAACAAACACCACTAGATGTCTCCACTAGGCAGGTCGACAAACAAACAAATACACATACGAACATGCGAATAAACAAACACCACTACAGGTCTATACCAGGCAGCTCAACTTGTCACAGATGTCTACAGAGTACACAACCCAACTGCGAAGACAAACAAACAAAAGACTATCTGACACATTGTCACTGTGCCAGCAAAATAGAATGACTAAG